TTTTAAGACTTATGAAGAACAGTTTGAAATTCTGTCTACTTCTTATTAGGGTAAAAACAGCAGCAGCAAAAATTTGTTTCTCCTCTCCATTCTCCTCACAGAAACCCAAAGCAGTTTCCCTCAATTAGCTCATAGCTTGTGTCACAAATGAAATATAATTGCTCCCTCAGCATCCACTTTTAGGTCTGGCATATGTTTTTGAAATCCAGTTGTACCCTTTCTCCTTTGGCCTAGTTCAAATGTTTCCTTCCTGTGTAGTTGCTTGTGAAAGAGGCCGTTTGTTCCTCATCTCACTGATCCAGAACACAACACATCTCATAGCTGCTGACCATGATACAACCTAATGGTTAACACCAGACTCATGTAAATAAGTTCACCCTTGGAGAGTGTTTTCTTCAAACTAGCAAATCCATAACTCCAGTGAGGAGGCCTAATGGAGGACATGGACTTTAATAAAAGGGACAGTCCCACAAGTCTTCCTTCCCTCTCTCTCTCCACCTGAGTTCCCTGCTGTCTTCAGAGCTCCCCTATCAGTCTCCCATTACCACTGTAAACCTCTCTGGGATTAGGAAGTAGTAAATTTTTTCTGTTTCATGCATTTTGGTTTCACTTCCTCATTATGTCTTACCTGACAAACATACCCAAATGTAACTTTTACCTGGTCAGGGCTCTCTTAGAGAGTGGCCATCCTGGTTTATGGCCATTCTTGACAGAGAGACCTCAAGACCAAATTAGATAAAAATCACAATGGCTTGACTGCTTGCCAAAATCAAATTCATTATCCCCCTCTTTAAACTTCCCCATGCATACTCAATATTACGTTTCACCACAAAAGAGGTATTTTTAAATATGAAGAGGTATTTTTAAATATGACTCCCTCTCTCCCTTACATCTAGAGAAAACTTACATCCCCATTTACATGTGCCGTACTGATTATGCCTGCTGTGCTGGCATTAACAATAGCATTGCCACTCATTTCCACAATTGCCCCAATTTAGATGGTAAATTATATGGTCATCCTTTTTAGAGTCCTTATCTAGTTAATAATTAATTGCTAAACATCTCTCCAACTGGTTTCCTCTCCTTCAACTAATTTCTCACCTGAAATATAATAATAGCCTCCCTTCATCTAATTTCCCATTTTTGCACATGCTGTTCCTCTGTCTAAATACCCCTTTCCCTTTCATTTTGTGAATACCCATGAAAGTTAGATCAAATGGCATCTCTGCGGTAAAGCCTTCCCACATTCTTCCAGTCATTCTCTGTGCCTCCTGAAATAATTGCAATACTAATAACAGATATTTGCTGAACACTCATTGTGCACCACACGGTGAACTTAAACAATTTTTAAACATTTTGTCTCATTTAATCCTCTCTGTTTGATAGGTTTTACTTTTTAAATGTAGAAGGTAATGCCCTGGGATAAAGTAATTGGGCTAAAGTTACAAAGCTAAGCAGTGGAACCGAGACTTGAAACCCAGTATGTCTGATTCCAAGTCAAAGTTTTAAACCTCTTCCCTGTTCTATTTTACATGTACCACCACCATTAATGGGTCTCTGATATCTGTGCTACAATTCTGCCCCACTTGGTCACCTCTGCACCAGTCAGGTCTTAGTAACGGGTCTTCTGTTTCCCTTTACAGAGACTGGGACTTCCCTCGGTGATAGGGAAAGGCTTGGCTATCCACAGCATAAGTGATTATATCTAACTCAAAGCAGGTACTCTAAGTCCAGTACTACAGTATTTACTGTTTAATCCTAAATTCTTATGCAGATGGCTGTCTCATTTGTAGTCTTCTAACCAGGTATGATTCTGTATTTATCTGGATTGATGTCAAAATTGAAAACTAGTAAAACTGAAGTTAAATCTAGTGAGTTTTCTTTGACTGGCAGAGTGCTACTTTGTTAATGAAATTAGTTGCCAATATTTATAACTTGCAACTTTTTTACACATAACTAAAGATTTGTAGATTCTTCTGAAACACTGGGTCAACAGTGTTTTTTTTTTTTTTTGGAGACAGAGTCTCTCTCTGTTGTCCAGGCTGGAGTGCAGTGGCACTATCTCGGCTCACTGCAACCTCTGCCTCCCAGGTTCAAGCGATTCTCCTGCCTCAGCCTCCTGAGTAGCTGGGATTACAGGTGCCTGCCATCATGCCTGGCTAGCTTTTTTGTATTTTTAGAAGAGATAGGGTTTCACCACGTTGGCTAGCGTGGTTTCAAACTTCTGACCTCAAGTGATCTGCCTACCTCGGCCTCCCAAAGTGCTAGGATTACAGGCGTGAGCCGCTGCATCCAGCCCTCTGTGTACCACTTTCTATGACGTTCCAGAAAATGAGGTCAAATGTCAGTTGCCATCATCATGATTGTGCTGCTGTTTTTCTTAAGAGGAAAATGAAATATCTCTAGTACACATGTCTCTGCTAAAAAGCTATTCGTTCATTCTATGAATTTCATGCATTTGGATTTAAATACAAGTCACCTAATAAACTTATGCGTTATAACTGATGTTACACTTCTCAAAAAGAACTACCAACATTACAACTATTGACTGATGGCCTTCATCTGCTCAAAGTGTAGATTCAATGTTCTTTATGATTACAGAGAAATACACACTCATATTCAGAACCACAGTCTCTGGGGAAAGAGAGCAAAAAGATTTCTGTAGCTAAACACAGGGGGATACCAGAAGAGGGTGGGAACCAAGCTTGGAAGGTTAAAGGAAACCAATCACACCCCAGAGGGCATTTAAGTGCAAAAAGACACATATATGTCCAGATTGAGAATTTAAACAGAAATCAACAAAGGATTGTCTATCCTTTATCTGGCTTGACAGTAGTAACATTTTAATGTTTGAAAATACAGACTAAAATTTGACTGCACTGATCAACTAATCCCAAAGTTTTGCTATAGTGTATTCCCACCTAACAGAACACATATATAGATTACTTCAATTTGGAAATTTTGCTTATCCCATGCTTACTTCCAGGGAAGAGACTAAATATAAGACCTTCTTAATCATTCCAAAATTGGAATGTTCCTAGGGGAATAATGAGGAATGATGAAGAATTATTAACATGAACTTACAACTCACATGTCCAGATGCACATATATACTCATCTGGATAATGAAAGACTGAGATAAATGTCAGCTAGATACCATCATTTCCAAGAGAAAACACATCGTTACAACAAAGTACTAAATTTAAGGCTTTCTCAAATTCACAGATTTCCAAGGGGCTCTAAACTCAGCTGTTTGTGACTTTGATATTTAAGAACATTTTTATGAACTTTTTATTTTTGTCTGTACTACTAAAATTAAGTCAGTAGTCTATCATTCTGAAATGCTTTATATACGATCATCTGTATCACTTGTTTGTAAACTGGGCTCCAAGGAACCCCTTTACCATCCAAGCATAAAACAGGAGAGAGAGAACAGCCCCCTACTCCTTAATAGCTTTCTTTTTATCTGTTTCTAGACACGAGGATTTCACTTTAGACCATTTTTTTAAAGGGACAGGATCTTCCTATGTTGCCCAAGCTGGAATCAAGGAATCCTCCTGCTAAGCCTCCCAAATAGCTGGGACTATCGGCATGCACCACTGTACCTGCAATTGGCTTCACTTTAGACAATTTTTAAGATGTGAAAACCATGTGTCTCTAAATCATTTATCAAAATTTAAAGTGACATAGGAATGAAATACAATTTTTTTTTTTTTTAAAAGACGAAGTCTCTCTCTTGCCCAGGCTGGGGAGTACAGTGGCACAATCTTGGCTCACCACGGCCTCCGCCTCCTGGGTTCAAGCAATTGTCCTGCCTCAGTCTCCTGAGTAGCTGGGATTATAGGCACATGCCACCACGTCCAGCTAATTTTTGTAATTTTTAGTACAGATAGGGTTTCACCATGTTGGCCAGGCTGGTCTTGAACTCCAGACCTCGGATGATCTGGCCCGCCTCAGCCTCCCGAAGTGGTGGGATTACAGGATTACAGGTGTGAAACACACGCGCTGCCCAGCCTTGAAATACAAATCTTGTCAGATTTGCAGAATTCTAATCTCTATTATAGTTTACTAAACTCCAGTTCCTTCTACAATATCTTGATTTCTAAAAACAAGAAAGTAAAATCTTAGGACATTATGATAACCACATTCTTCACCAGGAAGAAAAAGGTGCCTAACTGACAATTTATTAATAAGTTCCACATTCACAGATTCAACCAACTGTGGATAAAAAGGGAAAAAACATTTTTTAATAAAAACATAATAGAAATTTAAAAATAATATAGTATGACAACTACTTATACTGTATTAGATATTATAAGTAATTTAGAGATTATTTGAGTATATGGGAGGATGTGCACTGTTTATATGCAAATACTATGCCATTTTACATAATGAACTTGAACAACCACGAATTTTGGTACTGGGGAGGGGGCTTCTTTGAACAAATCCCCTGAGGATAACAAGAGATGACTGTAATTAAAGAAGACACTCTCCACTCAAGAAGCTCATTTATGCAGTTCTAAAATGTAAGAAGTATACCTGTTATACATCCTAATATGCTCTCAATAACACAGGCAATCATCTCAAGCAACACTGTTTGGTAAAACGTTAAATTCTCAACCTTAATGTTTGCATTAACAAAGTGTGCAGCACTTAAATCCTAAGGTTCCATGTGAAATGTGAAATACTCATTTAATGATGAGATTTTCACAAGAATACAGCTCCTTTTGGTATCATGCAATAGTTCATTAAGAAGAGTGGTAGCACCTCACCTGTGCTCTGATTGTGAAAACAATACATAAATATATTAACAATAAAAATTTAAAAATATTATAATTTGCAAAGAGAAAAAACATGTCTGTTTAAATACCATTTAGATATTCGAGGCTGCGAGACAACTGATGGAAATGAAGAGTACAGAAAGTGGCTATAGAAGAAAGAAGAATTCAGTAGAGGTTAGTGAACAAATAGTGCCATCCATTACAACTCACTATGTCTTACCTGAGGAGGAGTAGGTGTGGACGTGGGTCTTCCTATGGGTGGAGTAGGATTTCTGCTGCCACCTCCAGACATAATCTCCTCTGTTATGTCTTTACCTCCCTGGTTTGGATCCCGAATTCTTATCTATAAGGTTAAATAAAATGGCATATGTACAGATGAGTGTCTTAGTAGCAAATTTACAGGCATATGAGTGAGTTAAAGGTGCAAACTGGGAAACCTGTCAAATATCAAAGGTGATAATCACCACTTTTGACTTTATTTCAATCACAGATCCATCATATAAATGTAGGCCATTAGCTCTGACATGAACTAATTAGAATAACAAGCTAAAATGAAACCTAATTGGCTAGATTTCTAGGTCAAAAAGGCAAACTATTAATATTTATACTTGTTTTGTAAGAACCTGTTGGACTGATTTTATTTACCATATAACTTTCATAAAATACTTTTAATATATGAAAGTTACTGCATAGATAAAAGTTCTTTTTTTTTTTTGAGACAGTCTCGCTCTGTCACCCAGGCTGGAGTGCAGTGGCGCGAAGTCAGCTCACTGCAATCTCCGCCACCCAGGTTCAAGCGATTTTTGTGCCTCAGCCTCCCATGCTAGGATTACAGGCGTGAACCACAGCACCTGGCCTAGAATAAAGTTTTAAATGCTGTAAGTGATTCTCTGAAGTTCTTTACCAAAATGAAAAATATAAATACCCTACGAGTGAGGAATAATTTATTCTGAAAACAACCTTATATACTATATAATAATGCTGACTGCAATCATGCCTTCTCCAGCAAAGACTGGAAAAAGGTTGATCAAGAACAGAATAGCTCAAAAATTATCTTACGTCAGCCAGGCGCGGTGGTTCACACCTGTAATCCCAGCACTTGAGGAGGCTGAGGCGGGCGGATCACAAGGTCAGGGGATCGAGACCATCCTGGCTAACACGGTGAAACCCCGTCTCTACTAAAAATACAAAAAATTAGCCAGGCGTGGTGACACATGCCTGTAGTCTCAGCTACTCAGGAGGCTGAGGCGAGAGAATCACTTGAACCCGAGAGGCGGAGGTTGCAGTAAGCCAAGATCGCGCCACTGCACTCCAGCCTGGGCAATAGGGCAAGACTCTGTTTCAAAAAAATAAAAATTATCTTAGGTCCTTACAATTAAATACTTAACAGTCAGTAAAAAGAATGAGGCAGATCTGGCCGGGCTCACTCCTGTAATCCCACCACTTTGGGAGGCCGAGGTGGGCGGATGACCTGAGGTCAAGAGTTTGAGACCAGCCTGGCCAACATGGTGAAACTCCATCTCTACTAAAAATACAAAAATTAGCCAGGTGCAGTGGCAGGCACCTATAATCCCAGCTACTCAGGAGGCTGAGGCAGGAGAATAGCTTGAACACGGCAGGCGGAGGTTGCAGTGAGCTGAGATGGCACCACTGCACTCCAGTCTGGAGGACAAGAGCAAGACTTTGTCTCAAAAAAAAAAAAAAAAAAAAAGAATGAGGCAGATCTACATGAACTGAACTGACACAGAATAATCATTAAGATGTGCTGGTAGGTGAAAAAAATGCAATAAGCACAGAAGTGTGTATGGTCTTATTTTAATTTTTTTCAACGCTACCCTATGCTTACAGATATCAGTGGAGTTGGTGCTGTAAAGGAGATAAGTGTCTGCGTCTAGGCATTGTATTCTGGGAGAATGCTAAGATATAAAGGACCACTGTTGTTCATTACCACCATACCTTAATCAAGGCCGTCCACACTTCTTGAGAATTTTAAGGAATTCACTAATGACACTACCTGGATCTGGAAGCTTTTAGGGGAGTCCTTCAATTAAGACTTCTAATGCCAGCTATTGTTCAGGTATGGAAAATTATTTCTAATACACTTTTAAGTGTAGCTTTAATTCATTTATTCTACTTTCCTCTTTAGAAACATCTGTAACAACCGTCTTCCAGTTCCATTATTTCTTCTATTTATTTTTCTGCATTCTGAGAGTGTTCTTCCAGTCCAGCTTCTATCATGCTGATTCAACACTACCAAAGCATATAGTTTCCTGACTGTAGTGTCATGATACATTGTCATGTGCTGTTCATTATGATATATGCACAAGCAATTTGTTTCTAATAATAAAAACAAGTTTTAAACCAAAGTCTTGAACCTCATTATTATTTTCTTGTTTGTTTACTTGAGATACAGTTTCACACTGTCGCCCAGGCTGGAGTGCAGGGGCCTGATCTCACTGCAACCTCTCCCTCCCAGTTTCAAGTGATTCTCGTGCCTCAGCCTCCTGAGTAGCTGGAATTACAGGCGCGAGCCTCCACACCCAGCTAATTTTTGTATTTTTAGTAAAGATGGGTTTTCTCTATGTTGGCCAGGCTGGTCTCGAACTCGTTTCCTCAAGTGATCTACCCATCTCGGCCTCCAAAGTGCTAGGGTTACAGGTGTGAGCCACTGCGCCTGGCCTGAACCTCATTAATTTTTATTAAGTTAGAGTAATTCAAGAGTATTGCTATAAGTCACCCCACCTATCTGTGAATGTGGGAGTCTCTCTTGAATATAAAGATCACCCATTTTGTGTGTTCTGTTGGGTAAGAAATTGCAAGCCACTCTTCTACAATTTTTCTGCCATTTGACTTTTATATTACTACACTCCAATTCTCTTGGGCCTGCCTCATTAGACACAGACAAAGCCCCTATAAATTATAAAAACCAATTAGAATATATTTTCTAAACTCTGTTTTTTGTTTCTTAAAAGATATCTATTTCACAGGAAAGACTTTTCTTGCTATCCTTAATATCTCAGTTCTTTTTCTCTTGTGCTGTTTTTTTCTTCTGTCAATTCATACTTGAATGGAGAACTGATTAAGACTGGTGTTGGCCAGGCACGGTGGCTCACGCCTATAATCCCAGCACTTTGGGGGCCCACGGTGGGCAGACTGCCTGAACTTAGGAGTTTGAGATCACCCTGGGCAACATGGCAAAATCCCACCTCTACTAAAATACAAAAAATTAGCCAGGTCTGGTGGCTTGTGCCTGTAGTCCCAACTACTCGGGAGGCTGAGGCATGAGAATCGCTTGAGCCTTGGAAGCAGAGGGTGCAGTTGAGCTGAGATCCCACCACGACACTCCAGCTTGGGCTAGAGTGAGACTGAGTCTCAAAAAAAAAAAAAAAAAAAAAAAAAAAAAAAGACTGGTATTAAAGAAGAGTCTAGATGTGAGAACTGAGCTTAAATTCCTCACACTGAGTAAAACCTTAGCCCACTAAACCCTCCCAGTTCTAAAGGTGGAGCACATGTTGTCATGTGGCATACCTAGCTCAGTGAATAAGTAAAGATGATATTATGCCACTGGTATAAACAACTTCTAATTACATGCCCATACAAATCCTC